AGCGGGGAATCGGATGCCTCCAGCCCCCGCTCCAACTGCTCCGATGGCATGGTGAGTGCCCCTGGGGGGACACCCTGCCACCCAGGTGTCCCGGGATGCTGTCAGTCCAAACCTGTGCAGGGCGAGTTGCCTCCTCCTGCCCTTCCTGTAGCAGCTGCCTCCTGTACCTCCCCAGGCAGAAGACGAGAGTCCTTTCTTGTGCCTTGAGCTCCAGCAGGAAAGGGAGGTGGGGTCCCCGCATGCCAGGATCTCTGGGAAAGAAGAAAAACCTCTTACACACTTTTTTCCCTGGGATGAGAAGTTAGGCAGGTCCCTTTGTGTCCCAGGGGAGCCAGGGAAGATCTGCTGGGAGAGCACTTTGGGAAGCTGCCTGGGATGGGGACCTGGGGGCATGATGAGGTCTGAGCCCTGCCTGTGCTCCCAAAGTTCCTGGGGCATCTCTTTCCATCTTCTGCTGTGTCATTGCCTTTGAATCTTCTAAGGACAGCAGAGAGGAAGGTCCCCTTTGGTCGTGGTAGTTACAAGGGAACTAATAAGAGCCTAGGTTTTGTTTTCTGCCATTCGTCATGATAACAGGAGGAGGGTCAAAGCAACAGGAGTTGTTTTTCTTGACCCTTAAGAAAAAGGTTCTCCATTTCTCTTCTCACTTCATCCCCTCCATAGACATTTACCAGCAATAGGAAGGAGATTCTGGGCTTTCAGTCCTGCTTGTACATTATGGGGAGTGGAGAAGAAGGGTGGGTGCCAGAGAGGGTGTCTCTTCGCCTCATCTTTTCACTGGGACTTTAGGCTCGGACTCTGGTGTGACTCTGGGGTGGTGGGACGTGGTGACTGGAGTGCAGGACAGCTGTCTGGGATGGCATCTTGACAGCACTTTAAGACCTAAAATGTTTTCTGGGTGCTGGTGGGGATAATAATTACTGAGTTAAATACCTGTGATTATGAGATAGTTGGCAGGTCGGAGAGAAGACTGACACAAACGATCCCTCCTCAAATGCAGCCTTTTTCTTTTGTCAGAAAGAGTAATTTCATTGTGGATTAAAGTATTGGAAACAAATAAACTGGGCAATGTTTGGGGGCTTTTTATGTACAAAATGAAAATGTGAAGAGAAACTATATGAAATAAAAAGGGACAAAGGTAGACTAGAGGCTTTTTAAGAGGAACTAATCTTTGGACAAACCTTCAAAAAATTAAATCATAAAAAGACTAATTTCCTCTCTTGGGGTCCTTGTTGTAAATTGAAGATACGTGTAGGGCAGTATCTGATCAGAATGCTGGAAAACCTCACCTCATTTGTAAAGCTACAGCATTCCATACAACAATTGGTACTTTTCCTTTGGAACAGCTGTGCCACATAATATTTTGGGGTGAATCCCCTTCTAGACAAGTTGAGTTCTGCCTCATTCAAAGAATCTACAACTTGATGGCATTTCAGCCAGGACTGGAATGATGGCACAGGCTAGGGACTGAAACATGAAATTGGATGGTTCCTGGGGTTTCAGTAAAGACCTCACGCAGATTGCTCTCCTTTCCAGATGGAGTACAGCGGACCTCCTTGCAGCTCTCGCAGAAGAAACAGCTATGACAGCAGCTACTACACAGAGTCACCAAATGGTGAGTACGTGCTGTAACAGCCACGTGAAACACGGAGACAGAGGCAGTCAATGCAGCAAACTTCTCCGTGCCTTCTCTGTCCCCAGTTGTTCAGCTGGTCCCAGCTGGGCTGAAAGAGGAACCTGCCTTTTCAACCAGTGAGCTGTTGATGCTCGTAGAAGCACTGGATTTTCTCTAGATGTATTTACAAATATGAGGATATGTTATAGCTGCATTTCCTATTTTGCAAATATAACATCTGGATAAAAATATATATTCCTCTTTGCAACTAATTTTCAGTGTTTAACCATGTTTTTGCATGAAGACTCTTCTAACTCTATCATTGATCCAAACTGGAGAAATTGTTGATTGATTTAAAATCTTCCCCTCCCTTTCTATGGACTGAAGCGAAGCCCTGGATCCACCCTGCCCCAGAAGTAGCATACTTGGGTTGTGTCTCTCTTCCATTTTGCAAATTACAATCTCTGTTTTCTGATAATTAGTGTTCTTCACCAATATTAATTTCCTCTGAATCTTTACAAGCTCAGGGATGCATACTGTCAGCCATTCGCTGGGATTTTATGAAAGAACTACATTCTACTGATGTTAAGTACCCACTGGATAAACTGATCATGTTTTTGTCTTTTTTTTTTCAGATCCAAAGCATGGGAAGAGTTCTGTTGTTTCCAGCCTCGACTGCCTCTCAAGCATTGTAGAGAGAATTTCCACAGATAACTCCACTTGTCCTATACTGCCACCGGTGGAAGCTGTTGCTGAAGGGAGTCCCTGTTCCCCCTCAGAAGGGGCGAGTCTGAATGATAGCGGCGCTCAAATTCCTTCCCCCACCAACTGCACCCCACTTCCCCAGGATAACAGCAGCAGCAACCCTATCTACCAAGTGCTATAAAGGCAGGTCCAGCTGGACTGCACCGAAAACAAATGGCTCCTTTCAGCCATGCTCCAAGACCTGCCTTCTAAGACTAAAAAGACTTCTCAAGACTTGTTCCACTTTCAAAATATCACTCAAAATTCCTTCAAATATGTAACTTTTCAAACCTGTATTACTTCAAAATACACCTAGTTATTTATTGGTTGTTAAACTAAAGTTATTTAATATGTCTAGAGAGAAAATTGTATACCATGAAATGGCCAATGTTTAATCTGGGCTTTGGGGAATAGGAACCTGGCTCTTGAATGCAGAGGGGAATAGAAATCTACAACAGTGGTGGCATGACAGATCCTTCCTATTACTCCTGTTCTGGCCAAAATAAGGTTGTGGACCATTTTTTTATAAAATTTTTTGTATAATTGTAAATAAGAGTTGCTTTGCAAAAAAAAAGAGGGGAAAAAAAGAGGAAAACAAAGAAAAAAAACCCACCCCAAATTAAAAACAAAACAAAAAGGGGAAAAACTTAAAAATATTTAATATTGCTTGGTTTGTTGTGTCAAACTTTAACTTTATATATTTATACGATGTGGTTGCCAAGAATGTTTTCAACAGTATTCTAAATAAAGACCCTTATTTATAAAATCTGTGGTGGTATCTTGACTTTCATTAGGGCTTCTAGAATTACTAGTGCATTTAGGAGTGGCATTAAGATCGCTGCCTGGCAGGAAGAAGATACAGGCTCTGATTCAGCAAAGAAACCAAGAACATGCTTCAGTTGCACCACTTTCAACTACTTTGCATAAATATCTTGCTGAAAAGGGGTCTACTTTCTTCATATTGTATCTTGGCGATTCCTAAACCAAGTCTTGCACATCACAGGTCATTATTAGAGAGGTCTGTAAGGTAAATAAGCATGTATCTCTTCCTTCCCCCAAAGTTTACAATTACATTCTAGGACTTGATCTTACAGAGATGTGTTAGAACTAGGAATCACAATAAATTAAGGCTCCTCAAATTCCCGTGCAGCTACCAAAACTTAAGTCATACAACAGTATCTCACAAGACCAGGTACTCCATTATTGGAAAAATGTTCAGATTTTTCGTTCAATTTCTAATTTTCAAGTGTTTGTACCACATTCATATATTCTCAGGTATTAGAAACTAATTGCAAATAAATTTTTGTCATAAAATGCAAGATATAGATCACAGTTTTCCTCAAGTTCAGGTTGGAATTTAGGCCAAAGATAGGCAGTTTTAATTTGGATTTGAACTTTATGCATCTCTGGCAGTGCTACTCCAGGGATTTACTTCTTGTTTAGAGCCTCTCTAAAAATAACCAGTGGGCAATGTTTCATTCAGTATATATGTGTAACCTTGCAAGCTTGCCATGAAACTGAAAAATGTTAAGCCCTGAGCATGTTGTCATTGGTAAGTAACCATCAAGGCATTTCTGTACGTTTGGACAAGAATAACCAGCAGCTACAGCCCATGTGAAACAGCCCATTTCTTGTCATACCCCTGTGATTTATAGGTTTTGTTTAAACATCACAGTAAAACAAACAAACAAACAAAACCCCAACAAAAATTCCCACCCCAAAAATCAACCCAGATATCATCAGCAGCTCTAAATACTTTGATGACAGATCAGTCATACTGTCTCTTAGTTGACTATTAAAGAGGGAATTTGTGCAGCTCTTACCTCTTAAGCAGGAAAAAGGGAACAGCTAATTCCATGGGAATGTCTCCCACTCCTTTAGTTGTGGGGGGCCTCGAAGATCAATGCCCCATGGAGAGGAGTGAGCAGCCTCGTGTCCAGCACAGCAAGAGTGTGGGACTTCCTCCTGGGGCAGAGGCGTGCCCCAAGCTTGCTGTCTTATTGGAAGCCAGAGGTGGCAGCCATGGGGATTCTTTCCTCATCCGTGTGCTTGTGACCATGGTGGGTGATGAAGTCGGTGGCGAGGCACAGGACCACTCTGCGGAGCAGGCCAGGCTCCCAGGGATCAGAGGGGACTCTGAGGTTGAGGACTGGCCCCTCAACACCTTCATCAAAGTCCAGCTATGCAGAGGTCTCCCACTGATTTCACTGTGGACAGAAAACAGTCCAGACCATAAAGGTTGATCTTCCCCCTTTCATTTTCCCATTAAAAATAAAAATTAAATTACTTGAGAATGTGCTAATTCATACCAGCATGAATCAGGAAGGTCTCTACTAAAGTCATAAAAATGCCCCAGGTGAGTTTGAAGCCTGTATCATTAACTTACAAAAACTAAAGAGAGACAGGCAGAGCCTCACAAATCAATGCCTCGCACATCAACAATAAAATTCTCATTGCTTCCAGCAAACACCTGATCAGGCCCACAGTGCCTGATGCTTTTGTGGGGAAAAAAAAAAGGGTGAAAATTTTTTATGATTTTTTTTTTTTTTTTTTTTGTGAAGAAAGATGCTTTTGTGAAATACTGTAGACCTTGCCATCTCCACACTCTGAGACTGGTAGAAGTATTAATTTTACTGTCATGTAAATGGCAACCAAGAAATACTTTGCCAGCTCAGGAACTACAGAGACTCTATTCATACTGGCAGCACAAAGCTCATGCCTGCCTCGCTACAGCCCCCCACTTCTGCGGGACACAATAGGGTGTACCTGGCTGCAAAGCTGGCACGGCACAGTGGGCACAGGGCGCTTGTGCTCAACAATGTACACGCAGTTCCATGTGAAGTCATGTATATTGCATTTCACTGATTTATTTTAGCAACCCAAGTTTCCACATACTGATGTTAATGTTACAACAGAGAACAAGCATTTAGCACATCCCAAAATAGATGGATGGATGAAGAAGAAGAAAACGTTCACAGATTTCCTATGCAGAGCCCATCTTTTTCCCATTGATGTCAGTGAGAAAAGTCCACTGGAGTAAGGCCAAAGGGCACCAAGTGCTGATAAGTACACGTTTAGGTTACAGCTATATTTATTTTTGAACTTAAATACGGAAACTGTGTTCCCTGTGCAATATCTCCCTGTCTATTTCTAAGGTAACATATTTAAAACAAATGCCTGAAGTTACTCTACACCCCTGTGTATCAAGAGGATGGCATGTTACTGACAGAAGTATATCCCAGTGTATGTGCACATACTTCAAACCTGGAAATATTTGGATTGAGAGCTTCAGTTTAGTTCTGACAGTGGCAGTGAACTTAAACAGAGCTGAGGAAAAAGTACAAGACTGATCCAAAAACTTTGGTTCTTAAATTTGTCTCCTGAAGGTGTATTTAGGCATTTAGGGCTGGTCCTACAAGACAAACTGCAGTCTAGCTTGCCCTACAGAAACACTCCAGCATGGGCTACAAACACACACCAATAGCCTGAAATCATCAGTTTATACCACACAGTCAGATCCACTCAGAGGTCTGTGGCTCGAGCACAGTCACCCAGTGTCACAAGTCCATGGCAGCAAAAGGGGGTCTCCCAATCTCAAGGGACCAGATCTGGAGATGCTGGATAAAATCTGGGAAATGTTGAAACCCTCTGAAATGCAGTCCTCCCTAACCCACCTGGACTGACCTTGAGCTGTTCTTTAGTCCAACAGCAGCATCTGCTGGAAAAGATGTACACTACAGGTCTTGCTGAAATCGTTTCTTGGTGAATCCAATGCTCTTTTTTCTCATCTTTCTATAATGCAAAATTTGTTGGCAGGGAAACATATTCAAGGTCTTCAGTCAGAACCTGGAGGCCCATACACTAGGAATAGCAGGAAAAATATGTTGGAAAAGCCGGATTCTTCCCTATCAAAAGCCTTCTAGAGAAATGGAGAGAAAAATTGTAGGAGTAGTATGGGGTTTTGTTATTACTGTACAAAAGTTGGGATATCAAAATGTTTTAAGTAAAAAAAGAAAGACAAAAGTACAGAGAATATGGAAGGTTCTAGAAGGCACTGTATGGCCTCTGCTGTGAGCAACGGTCCAGGGGAAGATGGGTTACTTACCAGAGGGTACGTGGGGCACATGCAAAGGAACAGATGACAGCAGGACCACAATATGATTTTCTGGTGGCCAAGTCCCCCAGTGGGATGGAAATCATCTCCGCATGCACGGTAACCCCCACCCAACACACAGGAATAGAACAGAACAAGCTGAGAAACAGCCTTGCAGATTTGGAAAGACTATTTGAAGCCACGCAAGGGAAAGGCAAGCAAGCACAGAGGCAACATACCTAAAGATCATCTACCTTATACTTTGGCCATACAACGTTCTGTCCTTTCTCATTGATGCTTTACTTCTGAATCCCGAAACAAATGCACGTGGCTGCCATTTCCTGAGGCTGAAGCCTGGACAATCCATGTGCCTGTCATATTAAGAAGTACATGTGATTGTTACTCAGTGCAGTGTAAGTGCAAACTACACGCTTGCAATCAGTAAGCAATAGGTATGGTTGTCCCAAACCACCGGAGGGCAGCATTTCTATGAAAAAGAAGACCTGGACACCATTTCTTTAGTGTATACATTTCTCTTTTTCCCTAAAATTTTATATCTAACTCTTCCTCAGTTCAGGTACAGAGTATCATTTCACACTAAGATATTAGAAATTAATGAGCTGAATTCCTACCTAGTGTAAATTAATCAATGTTATTGTCAGTTAACATGGTACTGGCACCCTTATCAGTTGGAATTATCAAAGCAAGTCCAAACTCACAGCTTGCAAAAATACATTTCTATGTGAAAAACCACAGGCTTTTGTGCCTGTATGTCAAGGTATCCCTATGAGTTGCCTAACAGTGGTTAGGATGAAGACCATCTTAGAGCAAAGCATTTATACAACAGCTTCTAGAAGGAGTCCTGTTCTTCAAATGGAGCACTTAATGCTCCCATTACAAATATGATACCAGAGAAATCCAAATGTATACAGGAAGGAACATGTGTCAGTCATACTGGTCACTTTGTTCCTTTTGGAAAGGAAGCACGTATGTGCTGAGCACACATGCTCTGCACTCAAAGGATGTCCTCTATAAAACTAGACACTTGAAGCAGCTTGCAGTGTAAAGCCAGCTGCACAAAATGTATCACAGAATCACAGAATGTTGGGGATTGGAAGGGACCTCTAAAGATCATCCACTCCAACCCCCCTGCCGGAGCAGGAACCTAAACAATTTTACACAGGAAGGCGTCCAGGCGGGTCTTGAATGTCTCCAGAGAAGGAGACTCCACACCCTCCCTGGGCAGCCTGTCCCAGGGCTCTGGCACCCTCACTGTAAAGTAGTTTTTTCTCAAGTTTAAGCAGAACCTCCTGTGTTCCAGCTCACACCCATTGCTCCTTGTCCTATCGGTGGGCATCACTGAGAAGAGCCTGGCTCCATCCTCCTGACATTTGCCCTTAACATATTTGTAAACATTAATTAGATCTCCCCTCAGTCTCCTCTTTTCCAAGCTAAAGAGCCCCAGCTCCCTCAGCCTTTCCTCATAAGGGAGATGCTCCAC